GAGAGCGTGCCACCAGCATCGACGGGGGAGGGCGGAGGAGTGACAGCGCCGCAGCCAATTGCACAAAGCGGCAGCCTCGCTCCTTCATCCAACCGTTACCCTCGATAGCGGGGAACGGTGCAGCCTCAGCGCAGCCTATAGCAACGCAGGCCCCTCAACATTCCCCCGTTAGAAACCGAAGAGCCAATCCTGGGCAAGATATATAAGCCACGCCCACCAGCCCGGCGACATTTCTCTTTCTCTCGTCAGCCGCGTCAAGTGAGCCTGAGGGCGGGATCCCCAGCAGTAGAAAGGATGTTGGCGGGGCAACCATCTTGAAAGAGGGAACATGGTTGACGGTCTGGATTGACGGGGGGAGGAGAGATGATGCCTTCTGGAGATTCTGTAGTAATGGTAACGCGACGTGTTTCAGTTGGATGCAAATCCCGGTGCCTTCAATTAAGTGTATTCCTATCGTCGTGCAGGAACACCCGCGAACACCTTTGTACTTGCAAGCTCTACTGAAGACAGTGACGTTCAGTCTCAGATTGACCCGAGGGCGTGGGTCAAAAAGGCAAGCAAAAGGCGTCGACGTGGTTGTTGCTGTTTCCTAGCAAATATAAGTCCTCACAGCGACTGCAGCGAACCTAAAGAAATCGCGGCGAAAACCGCCCCGCCGTGCGAGCATCTTGGGGACGGCGCGGCGGAGCGCGGCGGAGCGCGGCGCTTCATTTGCATAAAGCCCGGGATGCATTGCGGGTAGGAATAGAAAGTAAAAACGTTTGTTTAGCCCAGCAAACGTCGCCCTTTCTCCCTTCAGCGTGCGCGTGGTTGGTATCAAGATAGGCCCGAATACCGACTGGTGCTGGTAGAGGAGGCAGAGCAAGGAGTTACTATAACGTCAGGAAAGGACGCTTGCTTGGAAAATGTTCACCGGGGGGGGGAGCTGTTCTCGAAATGTTATTTTGTTGAGATCCAAGATCTATTGAGCACGTGATGCTATTTTTAAGAGCTAAGCGTTTTACTGTTGGTTCTCTGAAACTGGGAGTTCCCTGGGTTTTCTTCCACAACAAAATCTGATTAGTATCTCAGCGTTGATCTCGTGAAGCCCAGAAACTTCAATCACAAAATATGAATGCTGTTTTACTGTTGCAAGGTGTAATAAGATAATTTTGAAAGATTCTGCTAGAGCAGGGTTTCCCACACAGTGAGGTGTACCTCCCTTGGGTACACCCAGATGTGTGAAGAACTTTTTAGTTGTGCATTTTTACAATAAATCCACCTTTCCTTAGAGTTTCACTGTGTTGTTTCATTGTTCATTTGTGTTCATTGTGTTTGGATTTGTAGAGGAAGTGTGTACATTAAGATTACACTAAAAGGAGGTGTGATGGCAAAAAGTTTAGGAACCCCTGTGCTAGAGTTTCCCTCTGCTCCCTCTTACACCAAAACAAAAACAAAAAAACCCTCCAACAACCTGAGGTGGGGTTATTTTGAGTTTTTTTTCTCATGCCTCTGCTTTCCCAGGACTGAGTTGACTTTTATTTTCCCTTACTTGTTTCTGGATACCTTGTTCAAGGATATCTTTGCATTCTTCTGCAATGCTTTAGGAAAGGAAGAAAGTGAATTTTCATTTTATAATTTCTGATTAAGATGGAATTACTGCATTGCTGCTCCACCACAGAAAGGGGTTTATTTTTCTAGTGGGAAAAATGTTCTCACAACATACTGAACCAGAAATATTGGACTGCATTTTAGCCTGGGGTGTAGTGTGACTTAGCCTTAGTTATTTAGTTTCTGGTCATTTGATTCACAGGTGTATCGTGTTAACTCAGAAATTTAGGGAACTATGCTTGATTATGTGCCACCAGGTCAGTGTTGATTCTTAGTGACTACATAAGCAATTTTTTTTCCCATGACAGTCTGTCCCCAACCTGCTCCTACAGGTCTTTGAAGGGTGCACTCATCACTGCTGTAATAGGATCCATCCATCTTGCTGCTGGTCATCCTCTTCTCTTTCTTTTCACCTTTCCCAGCATTAAAGTCTTCTCCAGAGAGCTAGGTCTTTACATAATTTGTCCAAAATATGATAACTTGAGTCTGGTCATTTGTGTCTTGAGTGAGAACTCTGGGTTGATTTGTTCAATAGTCTGTTTTCTTGGCTGTCCATCGTATTCTCAGGAGACTTCTCCAACACTAACATTCAAAAGCACCAATACTGTATTCTTTCTACCCTGCTTCTTCAAAGTCCAGCTTTCACTTCCACAGAATTTCACAGGGAAAACCATTGCCTTCACAGTTCTGATCTTTGTAGGAATAGACACATCCTGGCATTTGAATATCTTTTCCAAGGCCTTCATGGTTACTCTGCCAAGTGTTCGTTTGCAGCATATTTCTTGATTGATGTTTCTTGTACAGTTGATCCTTCAATATCTTCACTGTAGATTCTAAAGCTAGTTATTAATTAGGTCTTCTTTATATTTAATCTTAGCCCCATTTTTTTACATTTGCATTTTCAGCTATCAGAGTAAACTATGGTTATATTCTTATTTGTTCAATGTATTTTTTTTTTTAATCTGCACTCAGTTGTTACCGACTCTGCAGTGACTGCTTTTGGATGAGTCCTTTACAGTTT